AATTTGCATTTGTCATTTTTTCATAAAGCGAGCATTTACCGAAAAAACGACCGGACTTCATGCAAAAAAACCCGGTAAAACAGCTGCTAAAATCGGAAAAACCAGTTTTCTACAGTAAAACAGCTGCTACCTGAGCTCCTAAGGGCGAAAGACCCCTCGCACCCTCTCCCGGATAAGCCAACGAGTATCCATTCCAGAACAGCCGCGAAATCGCCTTTTCAATCCAATTACTGTTCCGGAAAGTGGCCCCGTGGCTGTTCCGAGATGTGGATTATGCAGCTGTTCTTGGGACGCAGCCTTCTTGGGAGTGCCGTCGCTGTTCTAAGAGGGACACCGCTACTCCTACCCTGCACAAAACACTACGGTATCCCTCTCCCAGAACAATCACAGGAGGCGCCCCCTCAACATCGATGCGAGTGCACAAACAGACACACACAATACACACACATATATATATACATCCCCTCGACTATAGGTATTTTTGCATTGCATAGGTGCAAAAAACAAATAAAAACAGGCGTTCGGTGGAAGGCAACGAGATTGACAAAATCCCAAACCTCTCTTGGCATCAGAACCCACAGCTTACAATCAAGAATAAGAACGGAAACCCAACCCCAACCTCGATCACCACGCCACAACAACCCACACCCACCACGTCGGAAAACGCCGCCCAATGACGATGGCGATAACACGGCTTGGCTCAGCTCGGACAAACAAGCTATGCAAAAAATTTTTTCTTCCGACTGCTTGTATGGTTCCTCCAGGACGATGATGGAAGTTTAATGCGGTGATTGGAAGTAGGGGTGATAAGTAGCGGATTTCGTTCGAGGCACGGACAAAATGGCGTAGATTTTTTGTCAGTTGGCTAGGTAACGTGCACTTGGAGGGAAGAGGAGGAGAGCGGTGATGAACGGAAAGGATGAGGAAATGTGTTCCTGGTTTTTACCGTAGATACGTGGGATAGGGAAAGGTGAAACACTGCTTGCTTGAATAGTGCTGTAATAATAGGGAGAAAGACGGGTCTAGATGTTGTTTGCTCGCAGGATTTGAGAACAACATAGAGAGGGGAAAGAGGATACAAATCAAGAGCTCCAAGCGAAGTCGCAGTAAAGAGGAAAAGATAGCACAGTGGCACAAATTAAAGCAAATTGAAACAAATCTGATTTTATGAATAAAAGTAAAAGAAACTAAGATTTTGCTAGTGGGTACTGACAGGCCTATAACTTAGGCTGGAACGTTCCAGGCTTACCGGTGCGGTCAACCTAATTACTTCAAGTATGGTGCAAAAACACATGATCGCACTGGCTCGCCTGGTGCGTTTCAGCCCGGGTTTGGTCTTGCGCTGCATACCTCCAGATAGTTCCCACGTTCGGTGTACACGTGTCATCACTTCGGGGATTGCTTGAATGGTCGTTACATCTCGCGGATGAATTTAGACGAAACGTGAATATAGAATATCTTTGCAAAATTCCAATTTCGTACCTTGTCCGGTACTCGAAATCGCCACTTCGCTACAAATACCTTTGACGTACCTAAGGTATAGAGAATGCAATCTGGATCTCCGTTTAAATAAACCAGATGGGCGATAAACATTCTGACAAAATTGCAGTTATCGTCCGAACAGTTTTCGAGCTAACACAGCTCTACCTGTAAACTCTGACGTGCAGAGCAAACCTGCGCGATAGTTGAATTTAAAATATTTTGCTCACACACAGATAGCTAATATCACAACAGAGCTCCAATTTCTCACGTTTACCAGTTCCGAAGTCGTTCCCGGCCAAAAAATTCATATATATTTTTTCAGGTGTTCGCGTGTAAATCCAAGCACTCACTAGCGTTGATTTTGAAGCATGGGGTGGGAATCTGCTCCTACAGTTTCAGCTTTCCAGCTTTCCTGGTGGACGGGCTGAAAATGGGTGACAAAATTCACATGCCCACACGTACACACCACATGCCCTCGACAGTATGGGGGCTATTGCTAGCACGAATAACGCTAGTGAAAGCGTTTTTGCTCACCATAGCAGCTTTATTGGTGCTACACTGCAGAAATGTATGATGAAGACGAGAATATCGAGACCGTTCAAATAATCGAAGTGAAGATTCGCGTTAGTGGTGCTACTGGTAGTTTCCATACCTAATTCCCAGCACGCTTGGCCTTCTGTTTCTGAGTTGCATATCGTTAGCGCTAGATATGGAGTACAATAACAGTCTCAACATCCTATAATCGAAGTTTTTTCCACCTTACTCATTCTGGCGCCCTCCTGTCGTCCTTGTATTTGGATTTTCCAAAGACCGTCCGTCAATCTGTCTGCTCTGTCAATTTGTCAATTTTTAAGTGTTGCATTTAGAACTTTTATCTGTTAGCGCCTAACGACTAAACTCAGAAAGTGAGTTTCAGCGAACAGTGTCTGCTGATTCATCGGGTTTCCTGAGCGCAAAGTACCAGCTGAAGGAGAATATCCGAACGACGAAGCTTATGTTCACAACAGTCATCGTGAACACTGTGATTGCACTGTACACCCTGCTCGTTTTTCTGTACCGCGCGGTCGATATCGCCGCTGAAGGACCCACCAGTAGTGCCACGCTGCGAAAAATCGTCGATTACGCTCCCTGGGAAGCATCTGCTGTTCGTTGCTTGCGTTCTTTTTCATAAAAAATTGGTCGAACAGGAGTTTTCCGGTCCACTGAGTGATAGACATTCCTATTCAGCGCTACAGCTGTATCTCGTCAGTAAGGCTACTATGATGTTGATTAAAGTAAACTTGTGTAATAAAATATGTCGCAATTTTAAGATTTTAATCTTAAAACGGAAGGGACAAATTTAAAGAATAATAAAGAAAAGAAAGGCGTATGAAATAACAGCACGCCAAGTTAGAAGTTTGGAAACTCTCAACTATTGATGTTGATCTGCGTTTACTGAAAAAAATTGCAAATTTGAATACACGTAAATAAAGACAATAAAAATTTTGTGTATGTATCATAGCGCACGTGTGAAAAAAACAGAACTCGTTGAAGGACGACTTTTATTTTTTTTTATACCACTCTATGTGAGTTCATCCTTCGAAGTTGGAAAGGATGAGAGGAGTGGATGCAGGTTAGGTTGCACTCAGGACAAAATCCGTAAAACTCTTTTGTATTTCAAACTTAAAACAAAAATCTTTAGCTTTAAAAAAACAATTTTCATTTTATTGCCTGGATTTTTCAAGACTGCATATAGATTTGTGGCAGCTTTTCATTCTTTGCCTTCTTTTCGCGGGTTTCAGCATCTAGTATTCGATTTCTGCACTAGTTCGATCAAAGAAGTATATCTCGTTGTGTTGAAGCATTTGCCTTAAGTCATCCACTAATTTGGTGCAGCAGTTTTAGGAATTCCATGTGCCAATCGTATCAATTATATTTGCGATGCTGTTTACTTGGCTTTCACCACAGTCTCGCTCTTCGATCCGCCAAGTGCTGCAGCGTTCTCGATGTTTCGCGCTGGCAATAAAGCAACAGTGCAAGATCGAGCCCGACCAAGAACAACGCATACACTTTCATAATCTACAGATGTCCTGGGGTTCAAAGCAGAAATGTGCGAAACTATAGATGATGCATTTTGTTTGGTTCTGCATAAGTTAATGAAAAGAATTTAAAGTGTTTGCCGAAAGAACCGACGTCAGTATAAATTCTTGCTTTGTTTTACGTAGTACGTACTTGTTACTCGTACTAATAAATGGTACTCGTTGGAGAGTAAATGATCATTCAGACATCTTTCGAAGACGTGGCTTACTTGCACAAGCAAGTAGTGGATAATTGTAGTGAATGCAGCTCAATAATGAATAACATGACGCAGCTGTGTCAGATGCGCAGAGTATCCCGGTAACAGAAAAATAGAGTGTAGTAACAACGGATGAAAGAGAAAAAATAAATAAAGTAGGAGATGAGGATTACAAAATCTGTAAATCGTAAGAATTTAGTGGTAAGAAATGTTTTGGTCCGTTAAGTCGTGTATATTTCATACCATTGTCACAGTTGGATCTCCTAAGTACGACGACTGTGTTAATTGGCGTTAATGAGTATTAATTTTAAATTAATTGTATAATGAATGTTAATAGTAAGAAGTATTGTGGAAGAAGAGTACTAATAATAATTCTTGTTAAATTGATTAATGTGATGGTAAAAGCAATATGAAGTAAATACCTATGTTAAATAAAAGCAAAGTTATATAAATTAAACAAAAGCAAAATTAAAAGATTAAAAGAATGGGGCAAGGAGTACGGAAGAACGAATGTGTGAAAGAAAATGAATAAAGGAGGAATACAAAAGGTGAAGAAGCAAGTTAAGTGGGAAGGAGATAGATACAGGGAGTAAACGAGGTGCTCATGGTATTCTTAAATTTTATTATTAAATTACTTCACGACGAAGTTTCCAAGACGTGCATTTGAGTATGTTACCTGATCACTCCTTATCAAGATTAGTTACAGAAACAGAATTTTTGCTTTGCAACTGTTATGAACCTCATTTTGCATAAATGATGCGTATGATCTGTGGCTGCAAAACTGGAAATTGGGAAATCGATTTCTGGTCTGTAAATCATTCCAGACTAATTGGTCAAGATTTTTCAACTGATAAAACTACAGTTTTTCAGCTTTATTGCTTCCGAAGACTAATAATTATCACACTGAACACGGATGCAAATAATGCTCGAAATCCACTGAAAGTGAAAAGCCAGTACACAATTTTGCGTCATTGCTGAGTCAGGATTGGAATTGCAAAGGTGCACCATCCTAGCTTTCCAGATCTCCATGCTGAAATGAATAGAGTGCTTACCAGAGTAACAGGAGCGTTGTATGCTGTTCTGTTTGGTAGATGCTTCCTGCTAATGAGATGTATAAAAATCGTCGAAATGTTTTCTGGATTCAGAGCCAGGAAATTTCTTGTCGGAAATTGCAAATGTCCATATGTAACTCGCATTGTCGCACATGAACTAGAAACATTCTCCTAAAGCTCCAGCCTCCTAGCTTTTCTAATTGCTGAGTTGAAAGCCCCAACAAAAATCACACAAACATAAACACACGAGATTGTGATATTTTCTACAGTTACAACAACGCAAATAAAAATAAACATTTTAAGCACATGAATACACAAAGCACTAACGGATTCTACTTGTCACGCATTTTTGTACAGGTAATAGCTTGAAACACATAATGTAAACTAGTATTTACGTGAGTCTGTTTGTTTGCTAGAGTCTGAAACTCTGTAGCTTTGACCCTCAACAGGCGTGAGACTTTTTTACGCGTGTTTGGCCTCCGACAATTGAGCTAAGCCTAGAAGAGCCAGGACAGGTCACTTTTTTTCGCACACACAAGTACGTAAGTTTATCTCATAATGTAATGGAAGACTTTGAATAAATTTCGAAGCTTTTATTGATCTACAGTAAGAGATTTCCCCTTTCTTCCCTCCGCCTCCTTCGTTTGTCTACTCCAGACAGTCACTGTGTACTTGCATATATTCCGGGGTTTCTCGTTTGTGTGCAGGATAGGATGTTACAACGACAGGGTTGCATACTCTGTTATTGAGAAATACGTGTTTTCAAAGTTCCAGCAATCGGCGTGTTTGTTTCTGTTTTTTGGAGTTGGACTGCTCGGGCAGAAAGTATGTAGCGGCGCGCACCAGGATAGCCGATGCGATCATACGTTTTGCGCAATTCCGCCCAGTGGGCGTTTGCCAGCTAAGAATTTTTTTGCTTTACACTTTGATCTGTACAAAAATAGCCTATATTTCGAGCGAAATTTTTATAATATAATATTATGCGAAACAGCAGGATGATGAGGAGTTATGGAAGACGTACTGATTCGGTCCAAGGTTATGTGTCACCCAGAGATACTTTGTGGATCGTAGTTGAGCTCGACCTTAGTAGTAATGGAAGATATACCCAATGATAGGCTGTCTGAGGCTGGGCATCATATTGAACTAAGTAAACAGCGCTATCAGCGTAAGATGCCTGGATCTTGTGAGTCCAAGCCTTCTTGCGATTAGATCTAACCCCACTAACTTGGCTCTCTCAAGGCTGCTGCTTTTGAGTCCTAATTTGGTATTCCGGACGTCATTACGCAAACCCCTTGCCTACGGACAGCCGTCGAATCGCGTCTCGAAGAGCGAGTGAGTAACGCTGCTATATTAGTGCTCCCGACGAATGAATGTTCCCCAGTGAATGCTAGCTAATGTGTGAATACTACGGACCAATGCTCTTCAAGAAGACTCCTAAAAACAATGATGAAGATTGACCCAGCTATTGTTCTTCTTCCCTTCTGCACTAACACCTCGTTGGCCTACCGTTCACCCTCTTATGACAGATTTGTGACAATCCATGTGCTCAGTGCATCGTTGAAAAAATTCCCACGCGGTGCCTTCCGAAACGTCTTACAAACATTTTAATCTGTTTACAAGCACAAAGATAGGGCAAGGGGCCTTCCTGATTTTGTGTTCTTTATAATATCTGCATATACCTATATTTAACTCATCCAGCTTTTTGAAGTACAATACCCTTCTTGAAATGTAAGATGGCTTAAAGCTGTCGAGTTCATGAACCACGGAATTTAGCGGTGAAAATTTCATATATCGGTATGCGAAACATAAGTGTATACGAAAACTAAATTTGAAACCTTTGGACCACACAAGAGCGGAGGATAATTTTTCTAAAATTTAGCTTCCTAGTTTTCTGGTTTCGAGTTAATAACTTTTGCACCATAACTTTCACATACGTAAGATTCAAGCATGTGTGGAAAGTAAATTCAAGTTTGCAAGGTCTATACGTAGGCAGAAACACTATCGTGAAATCTCAGCCTCTTAGCTCTTCTAGTTCCCGCGTCTGCGAATTTTCTCAAGCTTGTAAAACTTGGCCATGTGTGAGACCATGAAAACTGTTTAGAAGCTGAGCAGTCAAACATGGGCTGAGGACACTCCTCTAAAATTTCAGATCTCATTATGCGTTTTTTGCAGCTATGCAATGTGGAAAACGCATATTGACGAGAGGCTGTCTGTGTGTGTGTGTGTGAGTGTGTCTGTGTACGTCTTCACCGATTTTTCATCTAAAGACCTACAAAAGTTACAGGGCTGAAACTTTGGGAAATTAATCTACATGCATGTACGGTCCCCATCCCCGAAATGGTCAATCTTACCCGCGTCGTATCCACCTACCGGCCCGTGAAAGTTTTTTGCTGGTAGGCCGCTAACTTGCGAACCAGAAAAGCTAAAGAGCTGAAATTTTAAGGGGATATTCTCCGTTCACGTAAGTCTAAATGAGCTCAAGCCCAATCCCCAAGTAAACGTAGTACCCGCGTACGGGCTCGCTAAAGTTTTTTTCGGGAAGTTGGCAATTTGGGGATTTGAAAAGCTAAAGGACTGCAATTTTAAGAGAATATTCCCCGTCCACCTAAGTCTCATTCAGCTCAAACCCAGCCCTCGGGTATGCGTGGTACCCACGCACGGGCTCACCAAAGTCCTTCTCGGGTAAGTTGCTAACTCAGGAGCCAGGAAAGCTAGAAAGCTGAAATTTTAAGGGGATGTTTCCTGACA